GAAGGAGTTAGGATGCCAGGTCTGCAGGAGTTAGGATGCCAGGTCTGAAGGAGTTAGGATGCCAGGTCTGAAGGAGTCACTGGCGGCTCATAACATCAGCTGGAGTGAATTTAGAGAGAAGTTGAGTTCAAACGCAGTGGTTGCACAATAATAATACTTCTAATAGAGTAATAGGAAAATAACATTGTACATCTGAGTGGTGTAGATACATATTGTTATTGATATGCCAATTCCAGCTGCCAGTGATAACAGGGGAGTTAGTGTGTGTACTGCAGTATACAGTATGTTGTTTACAACCTCTGTCAACACTTTCCTAGAGCTTCATGGGACTAGTGCTGTCATGATTTGTCCATTAATCCCTTTAAATTGACACTGGTTATGATAGTCGATTGGATAATTTAATAAAACAATGTATCAACTGAAAAGGAAGATCTTTTTTTGTGGGGTTTTTCTTGTCCGTTGAACTCGTGGATGGTTCATTTTTACCCTGAAGACATCAGAAGGGTTGATCAATAATGCTCATGGTAGACCTGCCACACAGGCAGACTTTGATCAATGTGGTGTTCACTGTGTCTATTGGTTGTGTTTGTTTGCTTCTAACTGTTGGGCTGGTACATTATGCAGAACATAGTGGACTTCCACACTAAAGTGCTGCAGTTGTGTCCATGACCTCATGAACAGACCTGCGATGATATACGCCACCATCTCCCCCTTCATGGAGATGAAGTGGTTGCAGAAGAAACCAAGTGGATGCCAAGCTTTAACAGACACCCACAGAAAAGCAACAAAAACATCACAATAACAATGTGAAGTTCTGCAGAACAAAATAATTGCTGATAGATTCTGATTCATGTTTTTATCTCGCACACGCCTCGATACAGAGTCAATAACGCATGTTGACGCAGCAGAAGTTGCGCAAAGAGCCACAGGGCTTCCTGTTATTACCCTGAAATGGACTGTGACAGTGGCTATAACTCTCACCTGATTGTGCTCACATGGAAACCAGGCACTTTACTGAACACGCTGCCTTATTTCAGCCGAGTTCATCTGTTTCAGATGAGGGTTTGGAAGTTGGAAGAGAATATCAAAGGCGGTCAAAGAGGCAAATTTTCCCTCTTAAAGGATGTGAACTATTTCTCTCTTGAATTTTCTTGCAGGAACAGCTGTCAAAATAAGCGTTTGTATGACATTAGAGAGGGAGTTTGTTGTTCGCGTGGAGAGAGAGAAGGAGGGAGAGATCAGACAGATCACTCTTTACTTCACCTCAATGTTTGCAGACTATCTGTCTTGTGTTGACGTGGCAGCATGATTGCAATGCCCGTAAAGTCTTTTGCAGATGTAGACTCCCTCTTTCTCTCCTCTCTTGCTCATGCTTGTTTTGTTCCTTCTCTATATCCTCTTTTATTTCTCCTCCCCCACTCAACTACCCCTTTTTTATCCTCTTCCTCTGAAATTCCCACAAGTGTGACTAAGTATATGTGTGTGTGTGTGTGTGTGTGTGTGTGTGTGTGTGTGTGTGTGTGT